GATTGGGCAACCCTTGCTGAAACCTATGAAAACTAGTGATATAATTCTATCTGTTGCCATCCAACTTTCAGCCAAAACACCCCCACAGTGCACTGAGTATATTTGGCCCACAGACACTGTATACAACACAGTAGAAGGGCTCCATTGGATTTCCGAGGCTGGAATCTTCATGGAGAAGCTATGGTGGTGTAATGCCCAAGCTGTTTGACTGCTAACCCAAAGGCTCATGCTTCAAATCCAGCAGCTACTCCTCAGGAGGAAGACTGGGTGAGCCTAATCTCTGGGAAGAGATTAGGGCTTTGGAAACCCAAGATGGGGTTGCGACGAGTATGAATCAACTCCATGGCAGTGAGTTCGGTTTTTGTTTTTCTTCATCCTTATGAACAACTTTAATTGGTTAAATAGCAAACAGGTCACTTTGAAGGCAAAGCTGTGACTCATCCATATCATATCTAACTTTTCCCCAATGAAATTGCACTGTAAGACTTTTCAAGGGGGGCATTGATAAAGGGAGACCAAAAATAAATGAATAAATAAGTAAACAATTCTCCATTTGAATTGTGGTGTTGCTGTTGTTGTGTTGTTTGGTGCCATCTGTTTGGCTCTGACTCCTACCAAGGAGAAGAATAACTGTCAGGTTGGTCACCATCTTCACAATCCTTGTACTTGAGCCCATCCCACCACCTACCTTGTCAATCCATTATCTTGAGGGTTTTACCCGTTTTTCACTGAACCTCCACCATCCCAAGGCTGATATCATTCTCCAGGAAATGGCCTCTTCTGAAAACATGATCAAGGAAGTTAAGACCAAGCCTGGCCGTTCTCGCTGACAAGGAGCATTAAGGCTGCAGTTCTCCTGGGGCCGACTGGGTCGTTGTTTGGCCCTCCGTGGTATTTCCAGTATTCACCAACAAGGCAGCAACTCCTCTTCGGTTTTCTTTCTTCATTATCCATCTCTCACATGTATATGAAATGCGTCAATCTGCCATTGCGTGAACTTGGCACACCCTAGTCTTCAACGTGACATCTTTGCTCTTCCACACTTTCAGGAGGTCCTTTGCAGCAGGTTTGCCCCGTGCAAGAACATCTCATTTCCTGACTGCTGCTTCCGTGGCTATTGATTGTGGATCCAATCCAAAGGAATCCTTGACGGCT